ACTTGTCATTTTCCCTACCATATGTAGTTAACGCAGGGTAGGAGTTTAGTCTTTCTCGCTGCAGCTGTTTGGTTCCCCTCGCAAGGCCCTTGACACAGCTCCGTTATTGTGCAAAACATCGACATGATCACCGATAGCATCTTGGCCAGCAGTTCCAAGTCACCATTGGTAAACTCATCATATCTAAACAGACAAGATATACAGCAGCCTCGGAGGTTCAATTCCCAGCACGGACATTTTTCCAGCATTTTCGGATGTCGCGACTTTTTGAGGCACTATATGAACCAATCCTATATCGTCTAATCCTTATTCACGACCATAATATGCATTCAACTATATGTACTTCAATTTTCATGAATATTTGACAATATTCATATTCTTGGAATTTACTCCAAAGTCTATTAACTATCAAAGCACTATGTCAGCAATGGACCACATATACAATATCGCGTTAAAATTTTATCATAATTCTGGGTTAACTTCAACCAGCAAAGTCGTCCAGAGAAGATTCGAACCACATAGTAATCACATAAAAGCGCAGAAATGACATTTTTGAGCCCACAGCTGTGCGCCTAAACGTAGCCGGTAAACCCTGTCCTTGTCCGTGTGAAGGGATCTGTATTCCTCTCAGACTTTTATATCAACATATACCCACACTGATGTACATAACCGGTGAATATTTCGTTGCATATTATTACAAGCCTGAAGGGGCTATTCCTGGCGTTGTTGTTGTTGTTGAAAAATACGAACGATTATATATTCATTTCAACACAACCAAGCAACTATCTAGCAATTTCTGATCTAGCCCTTCCGAAACAACTGTCCCTCTAGATGACCAACCCACCTATTGAGTAAAGGAATCAACCATGTGCTGTCCTTGAGGGCACCACAGACTGCGGTGACCAGATTGCAGTCGGCCCCACCAGTAGTGCCAACGCCCGGGGGAACACGAACCCCATTTTGCCAGTCAGCATAGTGTCCTTCACATAACTCCTTCACAAACCTAAACAGGGCATTCTCCTACTTCATCAGTGTTGGAGGAATATATGTTCGCTTTCCTCAGCTGAGTCCAGGCGTTTCCTCACTAATTATACAAGTTTACATACAAATTTTGAGGGCAGAAGTGTACAGATATCAATTTTTCTTAGAACTTTCACAAATGTGGTTGAAAATGTGCATATTTTCCCACACTGACCATCCATACCTCAGGGTAGATAGCAGGAGATTCCAATGGTCCCTCTCAGGAACATACTGTCGGCTAGAAACGCACAGTTCCACATTAGCCGAAGCACGCATATAGCCGCCCTGCTGATTCGCCGTATTAGTAAGTTGGGCCTGGGACTTCAACACGTCATAAAGATTCTTCAAGAACCTCAGCCGCGTCACTGGTAACTGCTGGTACAGTTGAGCCTGATATGAAAAACACTAGTGGGAAAGAATATATATTTCACGACTAGTGCATATCAACGCGAATATCGCCACTTCACGTAAAACGGGTTGTGAAAACCCGTATGACCAACTTATACACAACCACAGACCATAAAACGACGACTAAGCTCACCTGCGCTTTTTTATATCCTCCTTCTACACAAACAACTGCCAACTCCAGCGCACTCAGTAGAACAGCTCTCGAATGACTGCCGAGGAGATTGGCCAGCATCCAACACACTTCAGTGCGGCGAACAAAATCATCACGCCGAGCCTGAGGGAACTAATACGTGCAAATTTATTGCTAATCATATACATATTAATATCGATACATATATGTCAGCTATTCCGTTTAATCTGATATGAATATAATAAAAAATATTATCAGTGTTGGAATAAATGATCGTACTCCTCAGCCGAGTCCACAAGTTTTCTCACTAATTACGGAAGTTTACATACAAATTCGGGTAGAAGTGTACAGAAACCAATAAGAATTCCACAATTTTCATCCTCAAAATTTCCAGTTGACTACGTGCACATTTTCCCACACTGCACACTATAAAATACACTTATTAATATTAAATATTTAGAATATAATACCACCATAAAACCTACAATTCGAAACCCCGCCCAGAGCTGATCCTGCCCAGCACAGAACATTGCCGTTACCTTGACTAGTGGTAAGAGGACTTTCAAGTAAAGTCGGGTAAACTTCGTTTTGTTAGATTTGATCCATTGACAGTTCATAACACTTTGGTCGTCCCCTTCTCCTGCATCTTCACTCGCTCCTCCCACGTCAACTAACCGTGCCGACCTAGCGAGAGATAGTGCTAAGGGAACGAAGCTCGTCGTAATTT